TGACCTCCATGAAGCTGCAGGACTCACCCATCCTCTCCTTCAACCGCTCACCGCAGGCAACACCCATGGGTCCCCTCAGCAGCAACCTGCCCCTGGAGACGTGGCTCAGCCCGCCTGTGCCCAGCAGCACGGCCCTGCAGACCCTGCCCGGCTTCGTGGCCTCACCACAGAGCCTGCCCGGCAGCTACACACCACCGCCCTTCCTGAACTCTCCGGCAGTGACCCATGCGCTGCAGCCCTTGGGGGCCATGGGGCCACCACCGCCTTACCAGTGCGGGGCCACCTTTGTGGACAAGTTCCCGTTGGATGAGGCAGACCCACGCAACACCAGCATTGCCGCCTTGCGGATGAAGGCCAAGGAGCACATCCAGTCCATCGGCAAACCCTGGCAGACAATCTGAACTCCCTCTTCAGCACCTGGGAGAAACCCACGGGGAAAGCCGGTCCTGGGATGCCCAAGGGACGCCCTCGCCCTGCTCTGGCTCCCACAGACGGCCAGGCAAGGGAGGGCTGTCACTTGCACCAGCCTTTCCCCCACGCCTTGACTTGCTTTGTGTTTTGCGGTCCTTTTAATTCCCTTTTCCACATGCCCTGCAGAGTTAGGGGCCTGATCATAGCTTAGGAAAAAAATCTCTTCAGCTCTCCCTCCTTGGCTGGACGCTTTAGTTGCAATAAAAGCTGCAGTAGAGCGAAGAGCTGTGTAAGGTGGCTGGGAATCGAGGCCTGCGTTACCTGGGGAGGGTTTTCTGGTTTTGCACCATTAAATGGCACAACCTGCAGGAAGGCTGTGCATCATGTTTCTGCACGTGAGTGGGCTGCTTGGGCTGGACCCTCCTCTGCCTGTGATGCACAGGGGGGTGGGACAGGCCTGTCTGGGGGCCCTTCTCCCTCCCACTCCAGCAGCAGGACCCTGCCCAAACTGGTGGTGAGCGGTGGGGGCTGGGGGCTGCAGCCCCATGGCAGGGAGTGCGCCCCAGCTGAGGGGGTCCCCACTTGGCAAGGAGGGGCCAGGGCCGTGGCAGTCCATGGGCCAGACGCAGCGCTCCCACAGCTGCCCTTGGGGGCAGCCCCGGGTTTGGATGGGCTTTCTCTCCCCTCAGAGAAGGGGATCGGCGGGGGCCG